AGAGAGAGAGAGAGAGAGAGAGAGAGAGAGAGAGCATGCTTCAGTTATGATTAACTCAAGTACTACAATACTATAGTGCAACAAAGAACAACCTTTGAAGTCTACCTGCCACGGCTTGGACCGAAAACTAAAGGCCACTGGAAATAACAACAACAACAACAACAATTCAAGAACTACTTTTACAATACAATGCAACACACACTTAAAAACCAATGGATTAACAACGACGACAATGACGATGACAACTTACAACAACGACGACAACAACAGCAACAACAACAAGAACGACGACAACAACAACATCGACGACAGCAACAAAAACAACAACAGCAGCAGCAGCAGCAGCAACAACATCTTTTACAACACAACTGGGGGGAACACTCTCACTCACCCAGAAGGGGTCATCACAGAATCCCTGCAGGCAATCCTCAGACACCGACATACTGCTGTTCTCGATGCTGTATTGGTGCTGCTGTTCCTCTTACTTACTACTCCTCCAACAGCAGCGGCAGCTTCAGTTGACACAATCCTCGAAAAAGACGCTTGCCAATTATCTCAACCTCTCAACGGAATATCTCTGAATTCTGAAGAAAGGAGGAATCGTTCGTTGCTTTCCAAAAGCCACCACCACCACCACCACACACACACAGACAAAATGTTCTTAATGAGCACAGCCTCCACCATCAGAGATCTCTCAGTTTCTAATCCTCCTGTATCTCTTCCTACACGGGTCAACAAGTTTCATCATGCCAGCCAGTTGCCAGGCCGCATGGGTTGAGATCTCGGAAGGCCTGGGTTGCGATGTATCATGTAGTAGCGGCGTGTTATCACAAGAAGTAGGGGAGTGAGCCTGTGAACTGTGAGAAAGATTTTTTTTTAAAACGACCCAAAAGGAGAATGATATAAATGTCATGAAAGTCCCGCTGCCTCGTTGAACGATAAGGGGTGAAATAATATTACGCTCATTTCGCCTTCTACTACAACAAGACAGCAGGTTCCCAAACAAACTGTGGTCTGTAGGAAAGTGTGTGTTTCAGTGCGCGCGCGCGCGCGTGTGTGTGTGTGTGTGTG